CCAGTGACAAGAAGCTTGCATTAATCAACTTGAGTCTTGTGTTCCATTTTTTAGAATTTTCTTATCAAAGCAAAAAATCTGTTTTCTAATTGTATTTAATTATAATGAATATTGTACAGTCAAATTTGCTTCTACTTAGTTTCGTATTACTTAACAACCAGTAAAAATGGCAAACTCGTGTATTTAGTATTACAATTCAGTAATATTGTTACTCAACACAATTTGAATAACCGTATTGGAAAATAACATCCTCAAATACAATTTTACTTATGACTTAATGAACTGGGAAGGTTCATTCTTGAAAGACTTGTTTCTACAGACAGAGGTTCTCCAATTTTGGAATGCTATTGGCTTATCTTTATTTTGTATAATAAACTCTTTGTTGGATCCAGATGGGGATACATGAAACGATAAAAACGTATTTTTTGGGGTAACATTTTTTCGGAGATAATAGCACTATTATGCTAACCCTCATCGTCACTCCCATAGTTTCACAGTGGGTTAGTGGACATAGTGTAACCATGGACTGTGTTAGAACAGAGGATATATGTTTTCCCAACAATAACATATACTCTTTGTATTTTCGTGATGCTGAAACTCACTAAAAATTGCATAACTTCACGAAATAAATATAATCCCGTAAGATAAAATAACTCGTATAATGAGAGTCAAAATATACAAACACAAATAATACTCTGGACAAATCTAGTAGAAAATTACATTATACTCCTATTCTTTTAACCTCTCTGATTATGGCTTTGTAAACATTATCCAGTAACTAATACAAATCTGTTGTAGGTAATTAAGTATGGATAAATTTTATTGAATGGAAATCTTCAAAACTTAAGATGTCACGAAAGAGTCCTTAGCGATTATTATTACAATAAAGTCAAGGCTGACTCTAAGCTTGGAATGTAATTACCAACCCGAACGTGGGTTTATGTGCGACGAATGTTTGGGTTAGAGGTTTATTAGTGGTTTTGTTGTGTTTTACTTATTGATGGAGATTTACAATTCTGTTTCAATATCGCTTGGGAGTCAAATCCTACTTTGATTACTCTAACTGTGCAGTACAATTTGATTCAAACATTAAACATAGTTCTAAAAAAAAGTGAAAAAATAACTATACATTTATTAGTCTAATGTAACTAGAGAACATTTCGCCAAAAAAACCAATTTAATACAAAACTACGATCAATAATATTAATAATAATATTTAGCACTCCTTTCAAATGAAATCTTTCAATTCTCGTCAGGAACCTTTTTGGTGATGTATCAGGTTAATGTTATAGGGTTAGCTACGAGAAGAAATTGAGATGCACAGGGAGCATTGAATAAAGATGTTGTGTGTTTAGGGTTTGGTAAACTAAATTAACTGTGCAATGCGTTTGGATTTCAACATAACAAATTAATTGTTTTAGAAATAATAAAACAAAAAATGGAAGAGTCAACATTTTAAAGTTAAAAAAATAATTAATGCAGGATTGAAACTTTTGTAAATGAGTAAAAGTTCGTCACGGTCATCTTTGGAGCTTAAAAATGTATTTGATCTATTATTGTATTTTATTCAGAATTGTGGATTTAAAAAGACATGTTACCAAATAAATATAAAATTCAAAATTAGGTTAGTAAGTAAACAGAAGCGGAATACATATAAATTCACTTTGACGTGAGCCCAAGCCAAACAAATTTGGTGGACTAGCTATAGAAAAACAAAGTCATCTGTGTGTTTCAGCTCACCATTGGACAAGGTAAATACAGAACTTGTTGTCGGATTGGGAATGGCAGGTCTGTTATTGAATTAATTGTATTTGATACAGGATCTATCACCGAACGTACTTATTTCGGTACATTTCATAAACCAGAAGTAGTATTCATAAACTATGTTGTAACAGTTTCAATACACCTTTTAAACATTAAAATAAGCAGTTAATTTTGTCAATTAAATTTAATAAATTGGTGTTTCAATTAATTATCAAATTATATATACACATTAAAATTTCTAAAAGGGTTTTTGGTCGGTACGCTATAAATTCCTATTTCTTGATCAATGTTCATAAATGAGACGTAATTTTAAAGCGTTTTTTACCCACTACACAGGATTTTTTTCGGTAGTTTTTTGTAAACACGTTTGATTATATCATTCGACAAGCAATTTAGACTTGAAATGTTTATTTACGTTATTCGATCAGCTGAAACATATGAATTAAATTAATCAAAAGAAACGAATATTTACTTCTCAAATCCTACACTATCAAAGCGAAGTTGACTGACTCCGGTCAAACTGTCATACTACATAATAGCTTTGACACAATCTTTTTTGCCAACTCAAACTATTTGAATGATTTATTGTGAGTTATAGCTCAGAGTAATTTTGTTTTATTACTCTGAGGTTATAGCCACTATTATGACTCATCAACTATGTCAGCAACAAAAAATAAGGTAGAAAATAGAGTTTTAGACACTAGCACATTCTTTGACTGGCTCACACAACTAGGCTCTTTTTTAACAGAACATGGCCTAAAGCTGGTCCATATAGACGGGACGTCTACTTCAGTATCCAATCCAATAGTCTGGTAGTAATCCGCAATCCTTGCATACTGACTGAATGATCTAACGACGAGTTAGTCTAAACTAGCTCCAATGCGAAAGGTGAAATCCGTTTTCGTCAGTTAAGGGTTAACTGCAGTTAGAGCATGGTTTAACAGTGGTTTATGTGTTTGGTTAAATCGGGCAAAGAAGGAATTTATATTCCTTAAATATTACCTTTGTCAAAACTTTAAAAAAGCCATATGAACAGACGCCAAGAAAGGAAGGATTGCACGTGCTAGTTGATTCAATGCGAATACTTCGCACGGGTCGGCTAGTTTTTATCTAAAGAGCAGATTACACAAATCCTTTTTATTTTAATACGTTTTTAGGTTGTAAGAAGTGTAATAGAAACTATTTTAATTTTTAAAAATATTTTCCTGATTAACTTTAAAAGTATGATATTGACGTTGACAATGTTTTATACTAAATTTAGTTTCGTCTTGTTTCAACATTTATAAACGACGAAATGGCAAAGTTGTAGATCGAGCTGGAGGTAACATAACACCCAGGATGTCTTAACGCTCTGGTGCGCTTCTAAAGTACATTACCGTTAAAACTAAAACCAACTATATGATATTCGAGTGAAACATATGGAACAATAGGTTTGTCGGTTTGTTATCCAGAATTCAAACTACTACATTAGTTTTAAAAAGCCCATTACCTATTTAATTTTAATATGAAAGTATAAATGTTTACAATCTAGAGTTCAGGTTAGAAAACGTGATTATCGTTACGGTGTTTAATACGCGTTTCGTATAATCAATTCCTGTGATGAATATTGAAAATAGATAATTAAATACACTTAATACAAACATGTTTGTTTTTTGACAAAGCTGCTAACTTAGCAAAACTGTATAAAGTAATAAAGTAGAAAACCTTCACAGGTTGTATTTTCATGGCGAATCTTGCCTCTAAAATATGAAAGATTGTCAATCGAAGTTTAACTACTTGGATCAAAACTTTGACAGTTTCTGAACTTTAGTTTTGAAAAGTAATTATAAAAAAACGTCCTCAAGTATGCTCTTTCCTATATTAAAGCTGTAGAATTTTGACGTAAAATATGAGGTACTGCTTCTTAACCCTATAAATATACCTGAACGTTGAAAATACTATTGCAGGTGTAGATGAACGATACTTTTAACAAAGCTAGAAATTATTACGGGCTATCCTTATAATATTATTTTACTACCTAAATGAGGTTCTAAAGAGGAGTGAATCGATCAATAGCATTGACTATTTGTTAGTAGTGTGTCTGATAAATAATTTACGCACATCTTTTATTGCACCAGTATGAGGAAATCTTTTAGTTTTATGCATGTTTGAGTGGCCTTTGACAATATCAAGTGTTTTTTTCGCCTGGTAATCGATTCAACACATTCTCGAAGACAATTATTTATAAATTTTTTATCACTGGAGGTAACGAAATGGTGTTTCGGAGCCCACTTTAGTCTCCTTTACTATTTGTAAAACAAACAAACCTAATCTTATAAATATAATCGAACATTGTAATGTGAACGAATCTGGATGTAAATGATGTGTAGAGTGGTAACATATGCATTTCATTCCAACAATGTTGAGTACTTTGAAAGGATGTTTATTTACTTGAAACCAAATTTAGAAGTCTCAAAACTTCAACCCTAAAACACCCGTCAAGAAAAAAGTGTGATATAAATTTTTACTCTCATTGGGATGTGATTTTGAATCTACCAGAGAAATATACAATTTGTATTTGACATTTATAAAATGAAAAAGGAAAGCTTAATGTAAAATAAATTCTTTTAGCATTGTTCTCTAAATATTACCTAACCTTTAAATAGTTATCTATTAACTTTAAATTAAATAGGAAGAAAGATAATGGGAAAATCAATTGATTCCTAAAATAAGTTTAAACAACCTAGACGAAGTAAAAATACTTTAATTACTTTAAATCAATTATATTAAAAAGCTTGAATGTTTTAAGGTGGATGTTGGGCTTATGAGAATGGGGCCGTCCAATAAATATGCTTACGGTTAAATCATCCATAACATTTTTATGAATATTTATTTTAGCTATGTGAACAAAAAGTTATAAGTCCTATCCCGAAAACGAAGAAGCCTATACTTCTGAGGCTAGGAGGGTATTCATATTCATTTCAGATGTGGACGCCATCCATGTGCGTATTTTAACCAAAAAAATATGAGTGAAGGATGAGTGTAGAATGGAGTGTGGTGCCTTGTGTAGCATTGTTACTGACTAAGATAAGCATTAGTCTTGACAATTGAAAGCCTAATGATCAAGGACAGCTGGGTCAAGTTTCGAATCACCAAAAAGTTACTTACTTTTCTATGTAATGAAGAACTCCCTTCTGGAACAGGTTAGCGATGATTGTGTTTTGATCAATTTTTTTACATTGCCGTGTTTGTTTCAGATGAAGATGCAGTAGCCGCCATGGGGACGTCTCTAGGTGAAGGGAGTCACAGGTTGAGGCATCACGGGAAACATCACTTGTGGAGGTCAACAGCGCTATCACAAGTGATCAATGTCACGTCTCCGTCCTCGACGACCACCGTGGACCGTGCGTCCGTGTGTTACGACACCAACGAGGTAAACCATCCTTACACTTCGTACCAGAGAAGAGGTTCATATATGAATGAACGCAGCTGTCTTTCTGTGGATATAATTAACAGTATTCGTTCTCTAACAGTATACACAGTTTGATCAATGGTGAGATATTTTACATTACCACGTTCACATATGTTTTACTATCAATTATGTTTCTCTTGTATCATTCAAAATGCAGCTACACAATTTAATTTCAATCAGCCTAACTTGATTCTCAGGTTCTTATGATCATTGGGATGACGTGTGTCCTTAACCTCGCCTTCATAGTGGTAGTGATGAGCTGCGTTCACTTCTGCAGCAGTCCCGCAGTGCCCAAAATACCCAGGTAGATCATCTAAAGTGTCAAATACACAATATATCAGCCATAACACCAGGAACATTCATTTATGATTTATTGTTTGAAAAAAATATGCTTAGAGCATTACTCCTAAACAGTTAACAGTAATAATGAAAATTAGGAAACCAAGTCATACGATGTGAAGTATTCAATTATTATACAGTATTTACATGAAACTTGTATCCAGAGGAACAATTCAATGTTTATAGAGCTAATTTTAAACTAACAAGCAGTATACAATACATCTTTAGGCTTCTCCCAATTCAAACAATTACAGCAAATACATCATAGCAATAGGCTGTTGTTTAGACTAATTATGAAAAAATAACTTTTCTCTAATTTTGCAGGCTCGAATCCCTGATTCTAGTGGAGGGTTCTACATCAGAATCTGATCTGGAAGAAATAGAATTTCGAAAAAGTCACATCAACTTATTTAACTGGTCTTCACGCAATAGGCGTTGTAACTTAGACGACTGCTTCAGAGGGTTGCCTAAAACTCTTCAGGTAAATAAGATATACTAGGCAAAAACAGAGTTTTTTGAGGACGAGTTATTTAATCACACTATGTTAGTTGAACATTGACTAGTGGCCTTAAAATACGTGCTTACATACATTGAAATCTACGAGTACGTGAGCTCCATCCTTCATGCTGTTGAGAGTGCTTCATCCTAAATATATGTATCCCCCTATCCTGATAAACGGAGATTGGAGTAGAAAAACAAAACCCTTACTATACACCACTCCAAATAATTATGAACTAGAAAACACTTGAATAGCACTGCCCCCCTGTTAGTCAAGACCCTCAAGATCAAGACCCCCACCCCACAAGATCTACTGGAGAATATTTTGTGGGATATTTTGGCAGCAATAATTCTGATCATGTATTTGAAATATGTTTTATTCCTTTTGATACTTAAAGTTGATCCATGGATGTAAAATGAAACTAGTTACCAAAGCACTTTATTGAATTAATGATACAAGTGTGTAAACCACTTTAAAGGATTTTAACAGGTTTTTTTGTTAAAAATTAACCATTCTTAAGGTACAGTTTTATACAAATTTAAAGTATACCGAACAAAACGCCCAAAAGGATAATTTTTTTATGTGCGACAAACTTTGAGATAAATAGTTATATGATTTGGTTTGTCGTCTGTAGATGGAGTTGTCCAGTTCTACGTCATCGTCGATGGTATCTCTACAGACACTTGTGCCTCCTACCTACTGTTCTACATCACTGACCAGCTTCGGTACAAGGTCTGTATATGTTTGATTGCCAACTACATATTGATTGATATTGATATTGATTGTACTACGGTTAAAGTTGCAAGTAGATTCTCGTAGTTACCTCCTTTTCCTTCGGCAGAAAGGCCTCTTGCTCTTAGATGATCTAGAAGTAATTAATTTGTTTTGTTATTCCTGTTTTTAATAGTTTATTGCTGTGACGTTAGAAGGATGGACTACTTCAACAGTAGAGTAGCATGGTGATACAATAAAAGGCATGGAGTAAAAATAAAAATGCTGAAAGTAAAACATACAATAAATATTTACATGTTTTACTATTCTTCTCATTATACTGATTTCTTGGGGATAAAAACATTGTTTGTTACATTTCAGGATAAACAGCAGACACAGAATCGATCATGCTTCTTCTCTGTCGATGGAAAATCTTCTCTTCGTATGAACCAAAGATTATACATCTCCTATAACAGGGCATATCTGGGTGGAGGACCTACAATGTTGACCGGACCACATAGAGTAAAATGTAAAAGAGACTGAGGAAAGTGAGATAGTGTTTACATGTAGGATATTTTACCAAAGATAGACAACTTGAAGGCTATGTACAATACTTTATTTGAAGGTTAACATAAGTTACACACTTAAAAAAAAAAAATAAGCCTTGTGGAATCCTCTCACCATTGGGCGTAAAACATGTGTTTGTTGTTTTTTATGGATGAAAACAAAAATGTTCAAAAGTAGCTCAATTAATGGATTCCAACAATAAATTATTCAATAATTAATTATAATACTAAAACCAAAGAATTGAGTAACTTTCAGTCAATATATTTATGGTAAAAGTTCTAATTTCCACACTATCTTATTTTTATACAGTTATAAATGGCCAGATTGTTTCTTGTAGTTTGGACCAAACTTGATAGATACACGAACATGTTACTGAAACCGAAAACAGTATTGACCCTCAAGATAAATACTGCATTAGATAACGGTACGAATCGAATTTAGTCTGAATCGATTGCATTTAAATTAATATCTACATTAGAAACAACGATCTACTGTAGTTTAGAAATTTCTAATCAATACTAAGTCCTACTTCAGTAATGTCATGTTAGTGTTTCACTAAATGGTTACTATAGAATACTCCTTTAATTATTTCTAACTATAAACGCACACGTTAAATGGTTATATATAGAAAATGTGTTGTAATTTTACTTGTAAAACATATTTCTTTCCGTGGCTAATACCAATACCCAATCCAATTTAATCACACAGCTATACTTTAATACTTCCCTTCCCATCAATCCTCTTCCCAATAATCAAATTTCAAGTGGTCTTTGAAGAAATGTAAATAAAAAACTTTAAAGAATACAAAATGTGAAACTAATGTACCATCAAAATGAACATGTATCCATGTATTCTTCTTTATAAATTAATACAGCGTGAGTCCTATGAATCCCTTAAATATTTAAGAACAATGATCTGTGGTTTTGAATGATATTTTTTTCAGAATTTTCACAATATTTTATATAAAGTAAATAATTTACAAACTTTTTTAAATTTCAATCGCAAATCCGTTGCTGCCGCAAACAAAGTCTAGAAAATTTTACTTTATAAAGTAACTAATTGTAAATGTACGTAACCAACCTACGATGTAGTCATAAGCTAGACATTTAAGTACTGTGAGATCTTCAATGCAATAATACCTTTGTAGTTGGCTCCTAAATATTGACCTACCTTTCGTATAACATTATGTGTAGTACATTCAGGTGATTGAAGATATTTTTGTACAAAACTCTACAATGTGAATATTTTTAGTGAATAAAATATATTGTTACGACTACAGTAATTATTTTAAACCTCATTCAGAGCCATACGCACAAAGCCGCTATATTTCCTACTCTGCAACAACCTGGAAACTATCACTTTTGATGATAGTAAACCTCTCAACTTTACACAGTGTTTTCAACTGTTATCAATTGTTTTTATAAACAAACTTACGTATGAAATACGGAACAGAGTTTATGCTGACTCAATCATATTACATTTGGCTCAAGGCTACATTAATATCAAGCTTTGGCAGCGATTCAAGGTAACTCGGAATTAATTACAAAGCTACGATATCCTAGATTTCCTAACAGTTTAGGAGTTATATTTTTTATTTTCCCATATATCTTTATCAACATTTCATGTAAGTTTATTAAAACTATATACTTTTTAAACCGTCGTTTTAGATTTCCCCGAGATCAATGTTGTAACGATGCATAAACCTTGATCTTCAGGTGGTTCCAGTTTTTATCCCTAGCCAGTATACAAAAATTCTTAAAACCAATGGAGAAAGAAATAAATTATCGGGAAGTTAAATATCATTATGCCACAACATTAAAATGTATAAACCCCTGTACAGCAGGTGCAAACTTAAATTGGAAATATATATATATATATGTTAAATTAAATTAATTATTATTTAATTAGTCATGGAATACAGGTGCGAGATTTCTTTTGGTCCAAACGATTTGAAATGTCGTGCAGTTTTATAGGCAACTAAGTGTAAAGTGTTTTTTTTATAGTCTAGATATACTGTAAAAAATGTATACTTTGTACCCAGTGTTCAATACATTAAGTCCTTGGTATACGTACTTTTACATATTATAAATTTATTTCATGTGGTATACATTCATACTTCAACAGAAGTTTTATATTATACACAAAACGAGGCTAGGTACCAGGACAAAAACACAAAACCTTCTCGATACGTGAGTCTGAAAATACACAATTCTCTCTGAATAACCTGCAGAATATTTTTTTAAATAGTTGATATTAAAGTTTAAACAGTTAAAAAGGATTAAAGTAACATTCATATTATTAGTTGGTCGTACAAACAATCAAATTTTGAACCAAAGGAAACTTTGCTGAAGTTGAACCTTAACAATCACCAGTTCAAAACGCTCCTGGCAACTTTGACCATTGTTGTACTTTGGGTTTGTTGACAATCAACAGTGATTGCAGATTAAACAGACCACCTAATTAGGAACTTATACTTCCCTGTAGATGAACCGAGCCGAACAGAAGTGTATGTTAATTATTAGTTTAACACGAAATAATATAAGACACTTGTTGTTATGCGTGTACATTATCATATTATAAATATAAGATTCAACAGTTTGTATTTTAATCAAATGTCTCTTTGGTCATAACAAGCCAATATACTGACACCACATCTGTAATTTTGTATAATGCCTTACAAAATCTCACCATTTAAAATAACTATCCACCCCAGCAAAAACATTAAAATTCTTGGCCACTATATTTAGCGATTTTTTAAATTAGTGAGCCATTTTGTTATTGGTTTTTGAATATTTGCGCAAGAATAATAATTCTGTACTGTGGAACTCTACAATCTATTACTATGTCTGTAGGCATATTAATATTTCTTTCTATCTTAGACACACACGCACACACATATATTGGATATTGTTCATATGTAGGGCTACTGTAAAGGCCCGTTCACACGGGGCGAGTTTACAAGCTACACGCCAGCGTGTAAGAAGCCGGCGAGTTGGCGAGTGTGCTTGTATTCGTTCACACGGAGCTTGTCCACTCGCCAACTCGCAGACGTGTAGAAAGACGCCGGCGAGTCGGCGAGTGCGCTTGTAGTCGTTCACACGATGCTTTTTCCACTCGCTCAGTCGCTGGCTTGAACCAAATCCTCCAACATCTTTGAGTAACAAGCGCACAAGCACAAGCAACGGTGTTCACACTGGGCTACTTTACACGCCTACTCGCGCAAAAGCTGGCGAGTTGGCGTGTAAAGTAGCGGCACCGTCAACTTTTTCCAGAGCTTTTTTACAAGCAGCTTTTGAGCGAGTACGTCGTTCACACTGAGCTATTTTACTAGCTGCGTGTAAAAAAGCCGGCGTGTAGCTTGTAAACTCGCCCCGTGTGAACGGGGCTTAAGAGATGACCGAGTCAGTCGGTGAACGGTCTGAACCTTTTGTACATGTCTGGGTCTAGATCTTATGTGGGGTGAGAAAATTGAGTTTGATCTTCTCTTTAGTAACAAAAGTGTCCTAACTTTTTTAAATTAATATTAAATTTACTTCCTCCTGGTACGTACCACGTTTGTTTTTTTACAAAGATTTATAATTTTACTAAAATCATAAAACGGCTATAAAACCTTTATAACCTTTAAGCATTGCCTATTGGATACTGAAGTAGACCTCCCATCTATTGGTTTAAAAACTGGCTTCAAGATTAACATGGGGATGGAATGTCTAGTTAATAGTCAAAGCGTTAAGTGTTAACAGTCGGCATTGTCAAGATTGTTGAATCAAAAAGCAGAATAAAGTTGATGTCATATCATTGGCATCAATGGCAAACACGCATTCCTAAAGAGCCAGGACACTCTCTACAAGACTGTACATAGGAGAAAAAGGGCATTTCAACAGTACTTTATAACTGCTTTTGTAACCTAAAATTCACCATTGTTTAGTGACTACCAAAACTTATCAAAACAATACAATTAAATGATTAACTTGTGTTTTTACAAATTAAAAGCACTAAACTAATTGGTTTGAGACATACTCTATTATTTTTTTTGCTATTATCTTGTTGCATTAGTTATTTTTACTAACTCTTCCGTTCTAAGATAAATTAAAACAACATGATTGTTTCAATACCTATTATTTTAACGCCTGTTCAAAGCTACCTTGATAATCGAGACCATTTAAAGCACAAAACTCATTAACAAGTCTCTGATAATGACCAACCGTAATGACACAACCACAGAAAACTGTGGTTCAGGAGTGTACAAACCACCACCACAACCTGTCAAAACTCTGCCTGCTTTTGTGTGCTCTTTCTGATTAAAATGTATCAAATAACGCTTAGATTTTATTTTACTTGAAAATCGTGAATCTATTTATCTAATAGACTATCTATGTAATTATTGCTGTTTTTCTTCATATTTTATTTTATCTTTGGATCCAACATTAAATAGGTAAGCATATTACATTTTGAATACTGATATACTAACCTTTTTACTAATTGGATTACTTTTAAAGCTATAAAAACTCAATAGTTTGATCAAATGTATTTTAAGTTTAACGGTTCAAACCCTAGTCTTGTTACTATCCAAAGTTATCTGAAATTAGATAATGTCATCAAAATAGCTCAATGGTATCTGGACACAGAATCGATTTCAAGTGGGATATTACCATTGACCTTTGAAGGTGGTTTTGAATTAGACAACATAAAGTTTGTAATATCTTAATTTCTTTATTCCGACAAAATTTATAGGATTTAAAGTTGCAATTAGTTTGTTTGTATTGAAAAAAATTAAAAAACGGCTGTAATGTTTTTTCTTCTTAAACAAATTGTTGAATACCAGACTCAACAAACTGTTACGAAATGCAATAATCCTTCAATCCATATAACTTTGTTGAAACATCCAAAACATTGAGCTGCAGTAATTTGTTGTTCACGTGTAGGTAATTTGATTTAGATTTACAAACTAATGTTGCAAACCATTATCATTAGCCTAACTGTATGGCTATTGATAAATGTAATTGAACCAAAACCCTTGCCAATACGTATATATGCTTACAATTATAAACCCCTTTGCGTTAAGATAAGACTGCACGTGTTCTAATATATCCAGAGAAAACGAGCAAAAAGCTTGAAACC